CGGGCGGTGGAACTCTCCGCCGGCTTGGCGCCGGAGGAGGTGGCCCACCGGCGGCGCGGGGCGCAGCCCGTCGCCCGGAGCCGCATTACTAGCAGCAGCCGAGCCGGGGGGCTCGGGGTGCGGAGACACCAGCCCAGTGTGATCAGAGGAAGTCCCAGCAGCAGCAAGAGCAGCAGCAGCAGGAGGAGAGAGCCCCGGAGACGCTGGCGCCCGGTCGCCACTGGCCACCCAGTCGTATCCCCTCTGCGAGAGTTTGTAATGGATGTACTTCAGCACTATCTCCCGGTTATCGTAGCCTCTTCTCCCCGGATGAGCCATAATTTCCACGAGGCAGCAGCAAGAGGAAGGGAGAGAGGAAGAAGAGGAGCAGGATGAACCCAAAAAAGTAAAGCAGCCAATGATAATAAAATTAATAACACGAAAATTTATAATCCAGTTATTGTATCGGGCACGGTTTCATTCATGGTGATGCAGGGGAGTTCTCAGGGTCTTGGAGGTACTTTCGTCTTCTCAGTGTTTCCTCCGCGGTTTGAGATGCACGGTATAAATAGGGATTAAAACGCTGTAAATATTTTACTTCCAGATGCACATTTATTACTTACTATATATTTACTTTAGAAACATTTCCTCCTTGGTGTTGAAATACACGTTAAAAAATATCATACTTAGGCAAAATCAGGTGCATTTTCCCCTAGGTGCTGAACTACCACGTACATGAAGGAGCGGACGAACATACACCGTAAAAACTGCAATTCAATATGATTTGCTAAACGGCCTTGGATGAACGTTAATCCAATGCACTTTAAGCTAGAAATCTCAACACTGCTTTTTTAAGTTACACAAAGTAAATTTCCTCTGTAAAGTACTTACTTGGACTATAAATATGTTCCTCTGTCAAGTTTCCTCTAAAAAAAAAAATAGCAACAACAAAACCCAAACATCACAAGTCTTCAGAAACGTTAGGTTCTGGCCGCTCTGATGCTTCAAGTCACGGGAAAGGGACAAAAAAAAATCACTATAATTTCAAATGTTTTTTCCCAGACTCCTGTTTAACAGGCATCTCCAAAGATATGTCAAAGCTCAGAAAATCCCGCCTCGGAGCCCAGGAAGGCGAACAACCCCAAAGAGACCACAAATCTTGAAGACCAGATGAAACACACATTTGAATCCAAGCTCTCGCAGAAGTGCTCCGTTTTTCCCTCCAGTGCAACGTACAGACATATGCATTTACGTAGTTTCATTCAGACACTGATCGCAGGAGCCCAGCGCTTCCACACACACACACGCACACGAACAAAAAAAAAAAAAAAGGAAGAAAAAAAAGAAAAAATTAGGCAATTAATATTTTTTTGCAAAAAAGAGCGCAAGAAAAAGGACAAAACCAAAAAGAAAAAAGAAAATTGCGTTTGAGTGCGGCTCCGGGGAGAAATGCCATTTCCCGAGCAGCTTTTGTATCAAAGGAGGAAGAGCCCCTGGCGCTGCCGAGGCGGGGGGGGGACGGGGGCGCGTGTGCGCGCTGACCGGTGCCGAGGGGGTT